TTTAAAGAGAGACATTTTATAAGTCATTTTTATTCTAAATGTTGGACCTTATTCCTGAAACAACAAAAAAATAGCAATAAAAAGGTGTAAAGCATGAAAAGCGGTCCGTATTAAAATGAATTTAAATACTATTTTAGCTAATGCTGTTATTGATCAATATTCAAATTTACTCTTTTTCAAGAGAGGTTAGAAAAATTCTACATTATTATTATTATTGTTGTTGTTGTTGTTGTGCAATAGACAACAGTTTTAATTTAAAACTTTAACAGATTCCTATTTTTTTAATGATGTAATATGATACATTTGTATTTTAAAAATAAGTATTTATTCATATTTCTTTGTTCTAAATCTTCAGGAAATGTTTTTTGGTACATCAAAATGTGATTATGACGACCACCTGGCAAGCTAATCCAACTAAAAGTAGTGCTTAAATTGTCACAAAAACATGCTATTTAAATTTCATAATTAAATAGAAAATGAGGCGAATAACTCCAAAAAGGTCCACTTTTTGAAAAAAAAGAACCTTCTTTTCCACCAGGTTGGCTATAGGCCTGTATTCGAGTCCTGATCGGGAGGTAACATCCGAAGCCGATTGAATCGGAAACTGCATGATCGGGCTGGATTTCCGATCATGTGATAGGATCTGGACATCCCTAGTGCTTTACACAATAATTATCATTCCAAAGCAATACAAGCTTTACAAAAGCACAATATTACTATATTACAGTCAAAATCAGAAACTGAATCAGGAGTTGTGTATAGAGTGGGCAGTATATAAATATGGTTAACCTGCAGTTATACAGTGTATATAGTGTCATTTCAAAAAGGTAAGGTCTATGTGTATGATACATGTTCAATGAAGTGTATTTGTGTTTTAAGCGTATGTGTTGAAATTCTCAAATTCTGAATGAGTTGCACTCCACAATATAGAGGCTAGTGGAAATAGAGAGCAAAGAAGATAATTAGCACACAAAAAAAGTATCTGTAAAATAACGAAGAAAAAACAATTGTTCAACTTATTACCCAGTATTTGCTCTATAATTTGTGTGACCAACCCAAATAAAAGGGCTGCAAAATTTGAAGAAAAAATCTAATTGTGATTTATCTCAACAAAATTCCAATTTAAAATGTGATTTACTACCATAATTTTATAAAAGAGTTTCCGGTTTGATTTGGTGTTTTTAACTGCCTTAAAGAAAGATTTATTTATTTAAAACCATTTAAACCATGAAAAATTACGAAAATAGCTTAACAGCATTTTAAATTCAATTTATTAAATGATACATAAAATCTTAAATAGAGGTATATAAAACCTTTACATTTTTCAAATAGATTTTATGACATTCACGGTGCATTGACAATGCTTTCCATACACAATTATAGATATTACTTCACAACACAAGAATTATTCTATTAAAATGTATAATTTATAAATATATTTATATTCATATAGTATTTGTAACACAATCTTGTCCTTTAATACAAGCAATCAGATAAATGAATTGTACCTTTAATTTTACCTGCTCAAAGAAAACACTCATTTTAAATGTTTCAAATAAAACTCAAGTACAGAACAGCACAGATAAACATGAGCATTTATAGCAAAAAAATAAATAAATGCTATTTATGTAAATAAATGTAAATCCTGCTTTCTCTTTGAGCACTGTTCAGCAAGTTCTTAAACGTCCCAATGAACCGGAATTTGCGATCGTTATTTTGTTTGTATTGTGACTCAGTTCCCAGAAAAAATAAAAATTTTAAATGAGCAAACAGCATTCGGGTTTAAAATCACGATTTCTGTTTAAAATCGATTAATTGTGCAGGCCTACCAGATAATATATAATATTTAATTTTGAACAACTAAAAATTCAGTATGTTTTTATTAAAGGTCAGGTGGCACGGCAATCCAGTACTGTTGCCTCACAGCAAGAACGCTGTTTTGGCCACTCACTGGGCCAGTCTGTGTTTCTGTGCAGAGTTTGCATGTTCTTCCCGTGTACGCGTGGGTTTCCCCCGGGTTTCCCGGTTTCCCCCCACCGTCCAAAGACATACACCATAAGTAAATTGACTTCTTCAAATTCAAAACAGCATCTTAAGACAACTCTTAGCCAGATATATCTTAGCACGTTCATAAGCAAGGGAGTTTTCAAATTCTCTACCTGAGCTCAAACTCCCCTCTCGTCCTTCAAAAGAGAGGGAGCCACAGGCTCGAGGATATTTTGAGCTCAGGCCTCTCTCCTGGGACAGCATGCCAAATACGCTTTATTATCAATTATCAGCTAAGTGTGAAGTCTATAGAAGTTTGTTTAAGATGTTGGCTTGAAGTTGGATTTTTGTCCCTTTCCAACACAACCTAAAAACAACCAAATATCAACGTCATTTGATGCCGTTATTGGACAACAAAATAATTTTGTCCTTAGACACTGGCTAGACATCGAATTATGGTCAACTGACTTTACATCCTAAATTTAACCTAATATTAATGTCTTATGATGATGTGTGCCTGCTGGGTATGTAGATTGTTTTACATAATTTTGGCTCATAACTATTTAAATAGAAACAATTATTTGGTAATAGGACACTAGAAACAACATCCAAAACCTTTTTTCTTTTGATATAATCACTGTAACCACATTGACTGAAAATACATTTTAGTATTTGGGCACATTTTTTTTACTCCCTCTTTCAGCCTTCATGTTTTTTAGCAGTCGTTTTTACCACACGCTGCCAACAAGCCACTAAAACTCCCATAAACACCCTCGCTGGGGTCAGAAGTCATCACTTACTGCACTGCGTCCAACTTGTCAATCAATAAATCAATCTTCTTTCTCAAGGCTCTAATAGATATAATGATAGTGGCAGCACATTAGTATTCACAGTGGATACGTTTCGAAATAGGCTAACAGGGGTTATTATTGAATGGGTGATGTTTATGTGTCTTTTTACTGAATGTCTTTAACCCTGGTGTCAGAAAACGGGATGTTGATGTGACTGAAGATCCTCATGTTTGCATGCTGATTTTACCACTCGCAGCCTAACAGCCCTCCTTTAAAGCAAACACAGATGGACAGCTACTAAGAACTCTCTGTCTGCTTCTCTAACACGTACACACACTCCTCTGGTAATTAAGAAGAGGTTTCTTCTCTTTATGGTCTCATAAAGTTCTCTCTGCAAACATGTTTGTAGCTTTAAAAGTAATTGAGTCTTTGTTTTGGTGCTTATTCTACAGAATTACGGCTTTCGTCGACACTTGCCGCTCGGCTAATCAGCCTTCAGGAGACACATGACAGCTTTACGAGATGAGAAATCAACACACAAGCACAGAAACACACAAACCACACACACATACACACACCTGTAGAGATACATAAGCAGAAATACCTGATTACGCAGCCTGTAATTACACACACACTTGCTTTTCTGGTTTCTCTTGAAGAAATGACAGCAGCCCGAGATGGCTGCAAGTAAAAAAATCAAAACATACAAGGAAAAAACTTCAGTTTGAGGATATAGAATTTCATTTTAAAGTACACCATTGCAAAATAGATATCAAATGCCTCCAAATGCTCAGCCTTGTGGTTTAATTCCCAGCAGCAAGTGATTTGTCAGTGAATTAGTCAATGTCAGAGACATGAAATGACAGTCAGCCAGAAACATTCTCGCTGGTAAGGTATTTTAGGTTTATTTTATCCCAGTAGTTTAAATCCTGAAGTGCTTTCTTAACTGCGCAGTGTGAGCTGAGAGGCATTACAGTAATGGCCATGTGTTGACATATAGAAACTCATATTAGTGACAGGATACTTTAAATTTATAAACATAATTGAAGCACAAATTATTCCATGACTGTTATGGAAAGGTAAATTTCAAGGTGCAATTGACTGATGCTATAAGTCTTGCACTATAAACTGGGAAAAAAAAGATAAACTGGAGTTGCTTCGGTTTCCCCCATAAATCCAAAGACATGCGCTTTAGGTGATTTGGGTAAGCTAAAATTGTCCATAGTGTATGTGTGTGAATGAGAGTGTATGGGTATTTCTTAGTGATGGCAGGGCATCCGCTGCGTAAAACACATGCTGGATAAGTTAGCAGTTCATTTTGTTGTGGCAAACCCTGATTAATAAAGAGGCTAAGCTGAAAAGAAAATGAATGAATTTACTTCACAAGTGCATCACCACATACAGATACACAACATCACTATAAATAAATAAATAAATAAAAATCTGTTTTCATTAATAATTCTGACATAATTGTGCACAAAAGACATTTACTTTCCTTATCCATATTTTCTCCCACATATATCCTGCAATGTTCCACAAAATCAGATCTGCTGTCCTGCAACAAAACTGTATCTGGTTGCTTTCAGTGTTTTTTTTCCTATTAGAAAAGTCAATGGCTACAACATTCTTCAAAATATCTTTCTTACTGTCCAAGAACAAATAGAAATAAATTACATTTAAAAATCAAAGCTTTAGATGCACTTGACAGAAAAGAAATGGTCAGTACATTGTGAGATTTTTGGGGGGCTGATCTACAGCATGTCTAATGCAAAGTGTTCTGATCAAGTCATAAATTTAGTGTAGACATTATAAATATATCTCCCAAAAATATATATTTTGTGAAACATAAGGCAAACTTTGTTTCGTCAAATGTATGCGTATTTCTCCATAAAGTCTGAGACTCCGCAGCAGTTACCATGGGAGCTTCCTAAAACAATGACAGCCAGCTCAGAGTCAGACTGACTTGTGTACTTTTGTGCTTACTGAAACGTTGTTGTAATACCCCCAAAACCTCGCTATAATTCGCACCCTAAAAGGAGTACATACAGCAAAATCTTTGCTATTTTTAATTGTTTTTCTGCTGACTCTCTCCACGGTCCGTAGAGCGGTTTGGGTTCGCTGAGCGCAGCTAATTTGACAGTGAGTAAGTTGATTGAATATTCGGGTTTGGTGTGGGAGGCGCCTGCGGCTCTCTCTCTCTCTCTTTCTCTCTCTCTCTCTGCCCTGAACTCGCAAGGGGGGCGGCAGGCGGCGAGCACTGCACTCGCAGCAGGGACACGGTTTGAAATCCGATCCTAGTTAATTTTTTTCCCTCTCTCCAGAGCCCGGTGCTCAAACTGTTAGTGGGAGTCTGTGAGCCAAGCTTTCACACAGCACCAAACGCCCCGCACTTCACAACCGACCCAGCGGCGCAGCGGAGCAGTTGTGCCCGGACAGCGCAGCGTAGTAGAGCGGACACTCAAAACTACCCGTGCGCTCCTTTACACGAGACAGTCGAGTGTGATTTTGATACACTTTTCACCGGTTTAAGGACTGGACAGAGTCGGACAGCTTAAGAGGCTGTGGTGAATACGACTTCTGTCCCAAACACTCCACTGACTTCGCGTCTTTCCTTTTCGCCTGGATTTGGAAACTTCAGTGGATTTGGATGATTTGCCCCCTGCATGTGATTCACGAAACATCTGGAGGGACCAGTCTTTCTTAAAAACCCAATCAACGTATTTTGTGGTGACCTTGGAAAGGATTACTGTCACGAAATAATTTGGTGAGAAGTTTATTTTTATTTATAAGGCTACTTATTATATTGTCTTTATAATTGTATGAATTAGTGATATTGTGGAATCTGTCCTACAATTTATGAATATAGGCTATATAGATTATAAAATGTTAACATGTAAATACAAACAGGCAATCTTTCACAAGAATAACAAAATCTAAAGCTGATCTCATGCTTGCATCATTTGCGGACGCAAAGCAGCATCAGAGCAGCCGTGATATTTGGCTTTATACGGGTTGATGTGGGTCAATTCTGCACATTCACAAGTTCCTAATCGGCCATTTCATTTTGACACATTATTTAAACTAGAAAGAATCTGAGAGACTGCTCAGACCAGCCCAAATTCAGGCGCCTTTTGGGGGCTTGGAAATGTGCCTTTCCCTCACATTTTCAGTTGTGTCTTTGTGTTGTTTACTTTACGTTTTTTTTTTAAATCAGACTATTTGTTCAATCAAAACCTTGTGAATGGAAACAAAGTTTTAGTGTAGAAGTGAGCTGCGGTGACATGTGGTGTGTGCCCGTATCGCTTACAGACGGACAGGTGTTGCGCGGTGTGTGTGTTTGTGTGTGAAAGAGAGAGTGTCTGTGTATGAATACCGCGTGCTAAAAGACTTCTCTACGAGTCGCGAGGAAAAGCCGCACCTGTGCTGTAATACATTTCAAAAAGTCTCAATTAAAAGTGTTTGCAGTGCATAATTTAGCTGGTTGTTTGGTCAGTCGACGTAAGCTGTGAAATTTAATACTCATTTTCTTAAATGGGAGTCAGAAACCAGTCTTTAATTGGTCACCACTGCCCTGTCTTTGTCATAGGTGTAGGTGTTGTAATAATGGTGCCGAAACCAACCTTGGGATGCGAGTGACGGAAAACGCAGTCAGAGGCGCTTATCCTGTATCAACCAATAATCAGTGCATGACTGCTATTTGTTTTGATCTTAAACATAAACTGTATCGATTCCCTTTAGACAGTGTTCATGCACCTATTCATGTTTTCACCTTTTGTAAACTAATTCCTTAAGGATCACTGTCTTGGGGTGCCTTTCTGATGAGACACTGAAAAGCCCTTTACGGCTTGACGTATGACGCATTTAAAAACCAAAATTACATCTATTTTCTTCTGTGGCCACCTTAGCAGGGCTTCATTTATGTTGTTTTTAGCTCGCACTGAACTGAAGCGCACCAGTCTTTTCCTCTGCCATACCCACGGGCCATCTGAAACCAATTGTAGCTATCGGAGTGAATTAGAGTCTCCGGAGGTGTTAACGCGGGCTACTGGGGGCAATTAGCCACCTCATGTACTAGAGTCATTCAAACTCTACTGGAGTCCATGGTGAAAACTAAACTAGGATGTAAACTTGATAATGTCATTTGTTTTAAAGCAGATCTATTGGTGAAATACATACTTCTTTGGGATTTTTGTGCCAGATATGAAAAGTTATTGCTGTCAGTTTCAGCTTGAAAGATATCTCGATAGTATGGTTGTTCAACTCATGAAGTGTAAAATAATTTAGCCTTCTAAAATTTGAGTTTAATTGTTTCCTTAAATGTTTAAGTTGTGCCAACATAATCTTAATGTGCAGCTAACTTAATCAACCGATTAAATTCTTGAAAACTCATTCAATTCTGTTGGAAATGTAGAGTCAGCTTTGTCTGTAGTGTGCAATTCAATCATTATCTCTCCCTTTTAGAAATGCCTGCTCCAAATTTAGGGGGATAATCATCACTTTTCTAGCCATACACCCTCTGCATCTTTCCAACCAGCCCTAGTGTCACTAGAAAAGGTCTCTAAAAGACATTCAAACAACTCAAACGTAAGGGTTCATGTCAAAGAGGCTCTTTTCTATTGGAACCTCAACTAATTATGACCCTTAGCAGACCGGTGCCGAGTTAAAATCAATACACCACTCTGTAGACTGTTGAAAGTTTGGGAGTTGAAGTACCTAAGAAATGCCTTTATTTTTCTCTCTCTTTCTGTAAAGCTCTTTATTCTTTATGTAGACCTTTTGGCTATTGCTAAAGGTTTTAGGTAGTATGTAAAAATGTGCGCAAGTTCATTTTACACACAATGCACAATGCAGTTCAAGGGCTAAATACAGCATGAATGAAAACAAGCACACAATAAACAATGGACAATGTTACTGTGCATGCTCTCTCGCTCCTTCATCCTTCTGTTTTTAATTACCCTCATGTTTTTATTTTTCTTCGTGGACATTATCATACCAGACGCTGTATGTAAGCATATGAGATGATGAGTTTAATGCTTGAAAGCACAGCAAAGTCTGACTGACTGAGAAGTTTAGAGAAGCCCATAATTTCCTAGTGACAAACATCTGTAAATGTGGTTTGTAAATGGCTCCTCTGTGATTTGAGTGTTTTTGGTGTGTTCCTCCATGGGGATGTTTAAAAGGGTGGGTTAGTGAGTTTAATTCTCACCTTAATGCAGTTGTCTAAACTAGAGAAAGGCAGAACCCGGAGCTGCACACACTCCCACTGACAGAGCTCTCAGAAAGCCCCAGGAGGGTGAGTGAAGTCCTCGCAAGAGGATTACAGCCAAACTCTAATAGAGACACCTCAGACTTCAGCTTTTCATCTGCTGTCTCTCTTTCTCTCTCTTTCTATTTTACCTTCTTTATCTCTCTCTGAGTTTGCCTCCCTCCTAATCCCTATTTTCATTGGCAGATTTAGGCTGGGCTGGCCGTTGACATGGCTGCACAATTACTGGAGATTACTGACATTTTTGAGTCCCAGATTTGTTGCAAGGTGTGACTAGCGTGTGATAGGATTCCATTAAAACACTCTTTCATCCAAAGTATCAGACATTACATGTATAAATGCCCAGGGAATTCTAGCATGGCCTTGTTCAGGTCTGTAGTTTGTTTGGTTTCTATTAAGATGGTTTTCTATATTACTGTTGAACGATGGGTCTAAAAGTAAGAGATAAAGACAGACAGAAAGGGAGATACAGACAGACAGACGGTAAAAACATAGTAGCTAGCTAATGTTGATTTATTGACTAGACTGATAATCACAATATTTCAATAGAGTCCAAATCAAATTCTTCAGTAATCCCCAAGATAAACACGGACTCTTCTGTGAGAGTTAGAGTTTTACACACCATACGGCAGCACGCTGCTGCACATTAGTCATGTCACACAAGCCCAGCTGCATATATTCTGAAGTTTCATTAGCACTAAAGTACTGTATGTACCTAAGTTGGAAGTCAAAACAATGATTTACAGTTGAAGTCAGAATTATAAGTCCAGTTTTTTCCCTCAATTTCTGTTTAATTGAGAGATTTTTTTCAGCACATTTCTAAACATAATAGTTTTAATACCTCATTTCAAATAACTGATTTATTTTGTCTTTGCCATAATGACAGTACATATGTTACTGTATATTTTTCAACACACTTCTATACAGTTTAAAGTGATATTTAAGGGCATAATTAGGTTAACTAGGCAGGTTAGGGTAATTAGGCAAGTTATTGTATAAAGATGATTTATTCTGTAGACTATCAGAAAAAAATATTTCATAAAGGGGCTAATCATTCTGACCTTAAAATGTTTACTAAAAAAAAAAAACTTATTTTATTTTAGCCAATATAAAACAAATAAGACTTTCTCCAGAAGAAAAAATATTATCAGACATACTGTAAAAAAATTCTTGCTTTGTTAAACACCATTTGTGAAATATTTAAAAAAGAAAAAAAAAACATAAAAGGGCAGCTAATAATTCAACCATATATGAGTATTTAATTATAACAGGATTATATGATTTGATTAATCCTGCAAAAAACAATTGAAAATAAACGTTTATATATTATACATAATAACAAATAAAAATAAATATAGTAAAAATATATTGGATTATTATTATATCATAATTATTATATAGTTATTATATTATAATAATATTATAAAGACAGTCTTGTTCGGGTTGTCACTTTAAATAAATCCTGAAAACAACAACAACGTATTTTGCTCAACATCAGTATATTCAAATGATTTATGAAGGATCATGTGACAGTGAAGACTGCTGAAAATTTAGCTTTTCTGTAAACTGTTACAGAAAACTGTTACTGTAAACTTTGTTTTGCAACATGATAGATTTAAATATATCACACCACACACATAAGACAAACATTAAACAACATTAGTACTACAAAAACTGGTCCCACTTTTTATTAAGTGGCCTTAACTAATATGCACTTACACTGTAGTTAATAATTAGTTACATTGTACTTATTGTGCAAATACATGTTTGTACATTGTACTTATGCTTGATTAAATACTTGCATGTAATTACATCTGTAATTCGTTTCTCTAATTACATTTATAATTACACTGTTGACCATCCTTTACACCTTAACCCACTCTGAAACCATACCCATACCATCAAACCAGTCTCTAACCGTACCCATATCCCACCTCAAAAGCACCAGAAGTGTTCTGGAATACATTATGAACAGAGTAAGTACATTGTATTTATATTTACATGTAAGTACATAGTAGTTAAGGTCACTTAAAATAAAGTGGGACCCAAAAACTGCAACTACCTCTTCCCATTAAAGCAAATCATTTCAGCAAATCAATTAGAAGAATTTGAAATAATTGAAAAAGATAAGGGGATATATCAGATGTAATCGGATGTGCTTTCTTTAACACCTGGCTTTCATACAAAAAAGGATAACCCCACCGCTTTTACCCCTAGTAACCCTGCAGGTATTTAAAATGTTAGAAAGTGAGTTCTTCTGTTTTACTTTTTAGAAGCAAACAAATCAATAAAAGTGTTAAAATAGATTCTTTATAGGCCTTTTAAAATGCCATCATCAGAGTCCTAAACTCAAAATCAATATAAAACTTCGCTAATCAGACAATAAAGTGCATATCCAGACTAAAATGCACGTCTTGACATGACTAAGTTGGTTTAAGTAACAGACAATGTAAAAAAACATACCCTCTCTCTAGATGACTGGCAAACTGTTCATTACCTCACTTGTTGTTACACAGCTTCTGAATAAATAAATAAATGAAGGACATGTATCATTGATAAGAGTTTAAGTTATTTCTAGAATACAGCTAAGCGTCAAAGAGTAAAGTTCCTTATACAAATATATACAACCTCAGTTTGCTAAAACTGACTAATCCGAATAAAGCATTCCAAAAATATGCATAACATAAACCCTTTTCTCACAACACATCCATTTGTTTAGGCCTCTCCACCCGACTTTTAAGCAGTGATACAGTAAGATAGTATGGCTCCAGTAACATGCTCTAAAAACACACCTACGATACACACTCCAGAAATACGCTCCACAAATATACCCGTCTCTCCTACAACAGCCAGTGCTGATACACTATCAGCCCACAATGCACTGCACACTCCTGCTCCGCCAGCCAGAGAAAACACTGAGTTACTCAACACACCGACCCGGCTTCTCTCTCTCTCTCTTCAGTATGTGCTGACCAAGAACTGAGCGTCTCTCGTCAAGGGAAAGAAAAACACCACCACACCGGCCCCAGGAGACTGTGTGCGTCCATTCAGGAAAGTTAACGCAAACATTTAGTGCGTCTAAACCAAGGCTGTTCTGAAATAACAGCAGTTCAAGTTTAAAGCAACACAGAGTCCACTCATATTCTCATCGTCTTTGAGCGAAAATCTCTCAACAGGGAACAAACCGTAGTGTAGTGTAGTATACATATATGTGTGTGTATGTGTGTGTATTTAAAGCTCTTTACATTCCTTTTATTGTGACTAATGTAAACTCTATGTGGCAAGACAGACACACACACACACACACACACACACACACTAGTCACAGAGTGTGAGGGGAGCATATGTTTTCTTTAGAGAGATAAGTGTGTTTGTGTTAGCTTAGTGAAAGACGTGTTTCAGAGTAGCCCGACCAGAGAGAAGGAGGGGAAAAAAAGGGAGAGTAAGAACGCGAAAGAGAGTTTACAACAAATCCCAGTCTCGTCTAAACTAGCGCGGGACACATAATATCAAATCAGTCTGTTTCATGCACTTGTGGCAGTTGTGTGTGGTCGTCGCACTTTATATTTCAGTTTTCGGTGCACGCAGAGACATTATACTGCAGACATTAGCACGCCAGCACGGTATTTCAATAGAGTGCTCTGAAAGATGTGTCTGATGTCAAAATAACAAGAAACAGATCATGTTTATTGAATATCTTTGAGTATTTATACCTTTGAAAATATGATAAAAGTACCTTTTATACTAAAAACGATTGCTGTTTTAATATAATAAAGTGTTGCACTGCAAGTTTGTTATTAGATGCTTGCAAGCTTTTAAGCACTCTGGATTCTGATTGGATGTCAATGTTTTGTTATATCTATATATATATATGTACTGATGAAGTCAAAACTATTAGCCCCCCTGTTTATTTTTTTTTCTCAATTTCTGTTTAACCGAGAGATTTTTTTTTTCAATACATTCCTAAACATAATAGTTTTAATAACTTATTTCTCTATATGATTATATATTTTAAATATGTTATATTTATATATGAGTGGATTCTGCTATTAATGGGGTCAGAAAAAACAACTATTAATAGTTATCACCATGTTACAGTTGATTTATTGCATGAAGAATAACAAACTTTTTAGTATTAATTATTTTTTTTGATTCTGTGTTAATGTTTATGCAAATGAGGCATTGTTTTATTAAATATGTACTCGTTTGCAAACATTTTGAGCATAAAAATCTGATTGATTTCATGTTCACAATTCTTTTTTTTTTCTTTTTTTTTGTAGTCAAAGGTTTAGAATTGTTTATACAGAATGGATATTTTAGGCATCTATTTTTATCTAGCCAGAAGAAAATAGCCAGAAAAAAAAAAGTTTTTGGTAGAATAAAATGTTAAATATAGTAAGAAAAAATATATATGAACTAGGCATGGGATGATAACCGTTTCAAGGTATACCGTGGTTTGGAAAAGTCAAGGTTTTAAAACCGGCAAAATTTTCTCCTATACCATTTCTAAGGTATGTGTAAGATTTTTTTATTTATGTTTATTTTTAGGACAACAGTATCTTCAGCAGAAAAGGTATCCAATGGTATCTGCAGTGCATTTTAAATTGTAAAGAAATTTTTGAAACAAGACAGCAGAAGTCCATGTTTCATTTGAATTATTTAGCCTGACATGTTTACTGTTCCAAAAACTTTAAAAGCTTCTTAAAATAAAATATAGTGTGTTCAAAGAGGAAAAAAGATTTAGTTTTTTTACACAGGCATTTAAAAATAATATATTTTAGAGACAACACAGTGAAACGATCATGTATTTATCCAACGTTATCGTACAGTCAGAATCTTATACCGGCCCACGCCTATATGAACATATCCACCAGTAAAAGCCTTTGGAATATAGATATGAATAAGACTCCATATGAAGTGAAGATATTTGTGAAGTGAAAACATGAAAACCTTTTCTTTTTTTTTTGGATAAAACAGCCTTTAAAAATGTGCATTGTAATTGAAATGTATAGAAATCTAAAAGTATGATGTCTTCATTTTATTGCACTGGAAAAACGACACCATATAAAATGTTTATATGAAAAAAGCCAAATATTTCAGAAATGAATTGACAAAAAACCTGTATGTTGTGTGTCTGTAGCATCTCCTCTTTAATTTCAAACAATCTAAATCTTCATGATACTTTGTCTGAATGGGGCCTCATGCAGTTGTTTGTTGTGTGTTCCTTCTCTTATGACCGTTGAATGTGCTCTTGTGTTTCAGGTGGGGGACAGGCAGACAGCAGTGTGTTTGTGTGAGTGTGTGGCAGCGCTCCATTGACAGCATGTGTGGAACGGTTGAGGATGTCTGAGTCTGCTCTCCGTGGTGAGGAAAGTCGTCCCCGCGTCGCTCCGACCGGGATGGTCCCACTCTGTCTCCTCCTGTACCTCGCAACCCTCGTCTTCCCACCAGTGTACAGTGCACACCTGCTGTCCCCAGAGCCCACAGGTCAGACATTACACCTCATTTTTACCGTTTCACTGTCAGCATCCTTTGCACAGGGAAAATTAAGAGATTTATTTCATTGAAAAGTACTACAATCTGAACGTTTGGGGTCTGTAAAGTTAGGTTACCAAGCAAAGGTGGCACTGAGGTGCTTCTGAAATTTACAGTAAGTGTCTACACAGATTGAAATTTAACATGAATGTAATTACAAAGTCATTGCAACTGTAAGAATTTATACTTTTGAAAAAAAGCTTGCAAGAAAATAAATTTACAAAATAATTATGAAAAACAGAGTTTAACTGAAATATTTATGAAATGTCTTGACTTTTGATTAATTTATCTTTTGTTCTTGTTAAATTAAAGTATTAATATGTTTTTAAAAATTTTAATAATAATCACACTGACTTTCCCAGTGCTGGGTTGCATCTGGAAGGGCATTCGCTGTGTAAATCATAAGTTGGCGGTTCATTCTGCTGTGGTGACCCCTGATTAATAAAGGGATAAAGCTGAAAAAAATTCATAAATAAATTAATGAATCATACTGATTTCCCAGTACTGTGTTGCAGCTGGGAGGGCATCCGCTGTGTAAAACATATGCAGGATAAGTTGGCGGTTCATTCCGCTGTGGCGACCTCTGATTAATAAAGGGATAAAGCCCCCCCCCAAAAAAAATGAATGAATGAATGAATTACACTGACTATTCCCAGTACTGGGTTGCAGCTGGAAGGGCATCCGCTGCATAAAACATATGCAGGATAAGTTTTCGGTTCATTCCGCTGTGGTGACCCCTGATTAGTAAAGGGATAAAGCCCAAAAAAAGAATAAATGAATCAATGAATCAATCACACTGACTTTCCCAGTACTGGGTTGCAGCTGGAAAGGCATCCGCTGCGTAAAACATATGCAGGATAAGTTTGTGGGTCTGTGGTGACCCCTGATAAATTAAGGGTTCTAAGCCAAAGAAAAATCAATTAAGGGATCATACTGACCCCACACTCCAAATCATGCTGTGTTTTATCTTAAATTGCTTCAGAATTTATTATTTTAAACATGTTTTGTTTAATTCATCTGTTAATCAGTTCACAAATTGAGCTAAAATATTCATTAATGAATCGGGTTGAATCAAAATAGCTTTAAAACACTCAATAAACTGGATATGTTGTGAGTATTTCAATATTTTTACAGTTATGAATGCATGTTCTGAATTATGTTGGCACTTTGATATACAGTAGTATTGTGCATGCTTGATTTACAAGTGAATGGGTCTCTTCAAAGAATCACTGTGTTTTAAATGATTCATTTAAATTAATTGAATCTTTGTACCTCCTTTTGAAGTCCATCAACCTTGAACTTCAAATACTAATTGGACAGTCTCAAAGACAGAGCACATTTAGTTTTATTATTTGTAACATTATGAAAATGAGCATGTTGTCAAGGATTCAGTGTTTTTAAAGCGATAGTTTACCCAAAAATATATAAATATTGTACTATTATTTATACTATTTACTCACCCTCAAGTGGTTTCAAAACCTTTATGAGTTGCTTTCTTCTGTTGAACACAAAAGAAGATATTTTGATGAAAGCTGAAAGCCAGTAACCATTGACTTTCATAGGAAAACAAAATCCATGGAAGTCAATGGTTACAGGTTTACAGCATTCTTCAAAATATCTTCTTTTGCATTCAATAGAAGAAAGAAACTCAAACAGGTTTGAAAGAGAAGTGTGAATTAATGTAAATGTTTTGGGTGAACTATCCCTTTAAGGATCTTGAGTTGCAGTCTCTTAGTTTGGCTAGTGTGTAGCGGCCCAAGTTTGTACAGTGGTACAAAGTGGGTATTGTGGCAATGAACACTTGTGTAGCCGATATTATGTAAACACACTTTGTCCTTGCCATTGATTTATTATCCCGCAGTTGACGGATGAGGCCCTGCAGAGCGGATTACATGACAGCTAAATGTGTGTGTGTGCTCGCATATATGTGTGTGTGTGAACGGAATAATAGCGTATCTCTCCAGGAAGATAGTGTCACAGTTTTCGGCGTAAGTGTGCAGGTATGAGAGCCAGGGTGTTGAGAGAGGTGCTGATCATTATCAATTGTTTGTTAAAGACAGGTTTTTTTGGCTAAGTTCACCTGAGCCTCAGTTGTTTTTGTATTCCTGATGGCTCTACTAAACACGTTGCAGTCACTTAGAAAATAGAAAGGAGTCTGATGCCTTCTTGGCTCATTTCTTGACTCGCTCTGTGAGTGTGTGTTGGGAGTGATTGTCTGATTGCTGGCTGATCTGATTTCTCATGCTGATAGCAGGTAAATACTAGAAGACAGTGAGAGAATTACAGTTAATGCTCACACATGGTCCAATAGGAGAGAATGCAGAGAGTCTACTGCAAAACCACAGCATAAACAAAGAGGGATTGTTATGTGGCAGGAAAGTGCAAACACTTCACCTCTCGGCTCCTTTTCACTTTTAAACCTAACCACCAAATCCCCTCTTTTTTTCCTTTGTTTATTTCATTCTATCATTTTAGGTTTGTGTAATCATTTACAGTCAGTTTAAATGGAGCATTTCAGACAGACAGACAGATTAAAGAAACAAGCCACAAGAGAATATGCGTTACAGTGATTTTATTAGAGCATGAGTCATAAATCATAGTTTTTACTTAAGTTTTATAAAGTCATATTGTCATTCATGCTTATGATAACAGCATGCAATTGGATCATTCTGATGTATGAAATGTTGAAAATGTTAACATCTAAATGTGCCACATTCATAAATAGAATATGCCAATACCTTCAGCAGATAATATAGTCTCATGCAAGGCATTCAGTATCACATAGTATGTCAGTAGATAGCGCTGGGTGATTTGGCCTAAAATCTAAATCTCGATTAATTGAACATTTTAATTCGATTGGATTACGATTACTGAACAATTAATTCATTGAAAGATTAATTTGTTTTATGTCTTTGCCCTCATAACAATTTTTGAATGTGGGGTGCAATTTTTGATTTTAAAATAATTGAAGTATACGCACACCATCTACCAATGATTCTTTATTAAACATCAACGGTGAACTGAACAACACACAATGCCTAAAATGTGTCTCTCCGCACCGCCCACCCTTGTCACCGATACCAAACTGACCAATCACAAAGCTTGCACTTGTTGTTACATATTTTTGAGAGATGCATGGGTTTGCGAAGGCTGCGCGAGACCATGTACATGCGCTTAGCAGAAGGATAATATTAGAGTAATCTAGTAACTATAAATCATAATATATTAAGTACAAAATAGCTTTAACAGAGCGGGGTCTCGTTACTCCAAACACAATAGGGAAAGTAATTGAAAATTTTCACCTGGAATAATTAGGTTGATTATAGGTTCTGAGTGTCGATTTCGATTACTTTTCCATGAATCGCCCAGCCCTATCAGCAGATATAATTTACATGTAATTACTATGTTGTAACACAAATTTGATATTAACATAGTAAAAGAAGAACAATATTATTACACAAAATGTTTGACAATATTTGTAATATATATATATATATATATTTATATATATATATATATATAATATTTGGCAGTATGACACTGTTCCTTTTCACGCTTACCTGCTGACCACTTACCTCCGTATGGATGGCTTTTCTGCTGTTACCAGTATGTCCAGTTAGCTCGCCATGTATGTTAGTGGACTTGAGATACAGAGAGTAGTTGACTACGACGATGGGGTTCAAGTCTTGTGAAGAACAGTTCTAGAAAGCAGGTAAAACAAAAACAAATCCAAAAAATAAACTAGTAAATAACAGGGTGTGAATGTGGTAAAATCTGAAAATTTGGTAAAAATCAGGCAAGGGCTTTTCTTTTTCTGGATTTTTTGAGAAACTGTTGGATGGGTTTAGGGAAGTGGGTGGGCGCTGGTCAATCAGTGCTTTTGAAAACACTATTGGTTGGGTTAGGGAAGGAGGAGGGTGGGTCAGCCGATCGGTCAGTCAGTCAGTCAGTCAGTCAGTCAGTTAGTCAACAGTGGCCTCTGGTGGATTTACACGAGAACAAAAACTGCAAAAAACATAGCTCCTGTTAGAGGTCTGCATTCCCGTGAAGCAGTGGGACCCGACCAAATTTTTCTAATTAATTTCCAAATAAAGTGCGGGAGCGTGTGTGTAAATGAGAGAGAGCGTAATGCTGTCTGTGTGTGTCACTTGCTTGGTGCTTATGTGTGTGTATTTATACAGACAGCTTGTTATAGGCTGTCTGGACCCTGTATAGCTGGGTGGTTTTCTGTTTTGTTCACCCCCCCCGCTCGTTAGTGGGAACGGGCAGAAAATGGGGCGAGTCAGGCAGCGGGACAACACATGCTGAATATAAGCGGGAGCGGTCCGGGTCGGACTAAAACCTGTCGGGAGCAGGATACAAAATTTAGTCCGGTGCAGATCTCTAGCTCCTGGGACATATTTGTCGCTCTTCAGAAATGCATATAGCGGTACGTTTTCAAAATGAACCTGGGTTGTCATGATTTGCCAGTTCAAGAATGTAGATCAAATAATTTTCCAAATTTTATACAGGAATAAAATGTGGTTGCATATAATAACATAAATAAAAGTAATTTCACAACTATTTCAGTCATATGCTATCTATTTTATAACATTGGAGCAGTTACTATTATATTGTGTCTACTCCTAATATTGTCTATGTTTGTATGCACAAACATTTCATAAATGTCTCATAAAAGTCTTCATCATGCTTTCAATAGACATGTATGTTGCCTGATTACATTCTGATTACATATTTTTAGACCTTCAGTCCATGTGTGTGTGTGTCCTTCCGGTGTGTGTTATTATTAGTTGGGGGTTTGTTCACCTCATTATAACTCTTTGAAACTCTCTGCAGGTCAGCAGATGACTTTTTAATGAGAAAATAAACATGCTCTCTAAATGTGGCCTGTAACCACCTGTTCACACACACGCACACACACACAAACACACTGAGAGAGACACTTCCTTGTA